TGTGTGTGTTATAAGGATCTAGCTTCACTTGACTACATTCACCTTGGTTATAACCACCATTTTGCTATCAGGTGACCCTGGCATGCATCCCAGACCCTATAGGACAAACCAGATCATTAAGATAGCTGAGCAAATGGTGCTGGCCTCTGATGCCTGGATTATTTCTTAAAATGATGTTGTATATTTTAATAGTTTTTGAGAAAAGACTCGTGCATTCCAGTGGTCATGGCCTCTCTTTGTCTAGCTTAGCATTTCCCCCTTCTTCCTGCCTTGGGGTGCAGGGATTAGCCTGCACTGCTTCTGCCCCAAACATGCTTCTGTCCATGAATCCTTACCCACCAATCAGACTAACCCTGCTGGCTCACATGATCCTTACCCACCAATCAGAAAGCACCCCATGCCAACTGAAAAACCTTTCAATCATTAAACTGTCATAACTGTCAAACCATCCCTGGCTCTATAAATATACAGAGCTGTTCCTCAATAAAGGGGCATTTTCTCTGATGACAAGCCTTGTTCATTCTTTCATTGGTGCCGAAACCCGGGAGGGGGAATTCCTCACTGCTCAAGGGCCCCCTCTCTCAAGGCTTGCCGTCCTCCTTCACTTTTTCGAGCGCTGCTACTACTCAAAAAACACTGGCTCTTCAATAGGTGAGTTCCCCTTTTGGATATCCAACTTCAGTCGGGCTATGCAGGGGCTTTGACTGTGATCGTCCAGCAAACATTTGATGCCCAATCTGGAGGAGAGAACGCACCCCACCTCGACCTTCATGGTCATGGTGGACTCTCTGAAGCCTGGTTCATGCGCAGGAAGTACTGAGGGGTGGAAGAACAGGCACTCCTCTCTCTCTCTCTCTCTCTCTCCCACCCTTGTCCCTCTCATGACCTATGGGAGCCTCTTCTTCCCTCCCTGCAGACCACCTCTTATTAAATTCTGCACACAAGATTGGCCTTACTATCAATTAGACAATCAAAGTCAATGGCTCCTAGGAGGATCCCTAGATCCTGCAATTCTCAGAGATCTGTTTAACTTCTGCGAGTACTCAAAAAAGTGGAAGGAGATCCCCTATGTTGAGCCTTTTCCTCTTCTTCATTCTCACCCTGACCTATCTGGCAGATGAATCCCCTTCTTACCGACCTCCCCCGTCAGCTCTGTCAAGCCCCTCAGGTGCTCCCCCTAACTTGGCTGACATCTTTTGTCCCCTCAAACTAGGTCCCGCTCCCTAGTCCCACAAACCATGGCCACATTAAGAGAGGTTGCTAGACCTGAGGGCATTATCTGGGACATGTCCCGTTCTCTATGAGTGACATCACACAACTCCAACCTCTAGGCATGGCAATCAATTGATGGACAGAGTCTTGGGTCCTTGTCCCTGCCTGTAATGATCAATAGACAGGAACCCAGGGTGATGTGGATTCAGGTCGATAAGTGCAAGGTTGACTTTCTCCATGATACCGGGGCTACCTTTTCAGTCCTGACAGAATTCTGGGGGCAAACAGTGCCATCCACTTCTCCTATTGTTGGGGTAGGAGGAAAGACCATCTATCCAAAAAAGACTCCCCATTACTCTGTTCCATAGACAACTTCCCACACAAGCTTACCTTTGGCTCTCCACTAACCATCTCATCTCATCACCATCTAAAGGATTTCCTCACTTACAAGGGGCTACAGTCACTTCCTCCTTCCAGGGTTCTACCCCTCCTTGTCTCATTCCTTGAAAATCCCTCCATCTCTTTTAAGTCCTGCTCTCCATTAAACCTCCCTCCTCCCATCTTCTCCCCCACAAGATCCCATCCACAAATGCCTGGAAATATTAGAGATAATTTTACCCTGCCCTACCACCATTTCTGAGGGACCCCTGCCCTCTTTGGACCTCCTCTGGTCCTCAGATGGTAGCTCCTTTATGTACAAAAGGTTTAAAGTGGTGGGGTATGCTGTCTTTTCCCTCTCATCTATCATAGAGGCAAAACCTCTCCCACCCAATACCACCAACAAGCTGAACTCATAGCTGCTACAAGGGCATTCGAGCTAGTGGAGGGAAAAACCCTCTCCCTATATACAGATTCCAAATATGTCTTTCATATCCTGATCTCCCACACAAGCACTTGGAAAGAAAGGGGGCTATTGACCAACCACCAGAGGGATGGCAGTCATTAATTCCACACTTATTTCTGGCCTACTACGAGCCTCCAGGCTGCCTTCACAACTGGAAATAATCCATTGCAAGATCCATCAAACTGACTCCTCCCTTACTACTATGGGGAATTCCAAGGCTGATCATGTGGCTCAATCAGCCACACTATAGAGCTTTACCCACCAATCAGACTAGCCCTGCTGGCTTACATGATCCTAACCCACCAATCAGACTAACCCTGCTGGCTCACATGATCCTAAACCACCAATCAAACCAGCCCACTGGCTTACATGGCCCTTACCCACCAATCAGAAAGCACCCCATGCCAACTGACAAACCATTCAACCATTAAACTGTCAAAACTGTCAATCAACCCCTGGCTCTCTAAATATACAGAGCTGTTCCTCAATAAATGGGCATTTTCTCTGATCACGAGCCTTGTTCGTTTTTTCATTATTTTAAAACAGAAAGCAATGGACATTACATTTTAAACAGCTAACAGAGATAAACATAATACTAAATGGTCAGCAATCTGGGAAAAATATTAATAATTTTAGACATTTTATTAACTTATTTATTTATTTGGAGGGGCGGTAACAGGGAGTGAACTCAATGGCACTTGGCCACTGAGCCACATATCTAGCCCTACTGTTTTATTTGAGACAGGATCTCTCTGAGTTGCTTAGTGTCTTTCTTTTGCTATGCCTGACTTTGAACTCAAAACCTCCTGCCTCATTTTCTGGAGCTACCGGGATTATAGGTGTGAGCTAGTGCTCCTGGCAAATTTTGCACATTCTGAATTTTATCATACCAACAAATTTAAATTAGATTTTTATGAGATGTCTACTTATAATAAATTCTACTTATGAGAGAATAATATGGTAATATATACTTATTGACTTATAAAATGAGAATTGAGAAAAATTACATTCACGAGAAACTGAATCAAGCCAGGGTCATCTGTTCATATGACTGTTGTCATTTGGATATGGAATGTTCCCCAAATGCTCATGTGTCTGTTGACTCCACTTGACCAATTTGCACCAGTTTTATTCATAATGATAGATTTAAGAGCACTACAAAACTTATTTTCTTGATGAAGTTTAAGATGCCTTGATTTGGGTAGGAGATTCTGTACTTGGAAAGTAAGAACTCTAAGTACCTTTCTACATTTTCTTTTCCTTTTAAAATTTATTTTCCAAAATGCCTCTTCAGTTTTATTCAAGGGAACATTTACTGTTGTACAATCATGCTCTGGTGGTCTAGTTGTTTACAGGATATTCAAAAATAAAGGGACTCTGAAAGGTTTTCATTGAGTATAACCTGCCATAATATGATGCAAATTATGCTTCTCTATGATAAATATACACTTCTATTCCAGGCAGCCTATACAATAATGTAATTAATCTAACAAACTTGACCTTAATTTTTAACACTTCCATTGTTCAAAAATACACATAGGAAAAAAAAAACCCTATATACTTACAATGCACATAGAGTGCTTTAATAACAACTTTTTTTGTTTTGAATTCTTTACATATATGTTATTCTCATTTAGTACCCTCTTTAACCAGAGTCTCATAACTCCTTCATTTTTGTGATAACATTTAATTTCCATATTTACATATACTGGCCCTGCTAAAATAGAATAGAACATCTTTTATATGATAGGAACCAACAAAGAAATTTTTATTTAACTTCTTCTTTACATTTTATGATAAGTAGCTAGTGGAAAATGCATTTATAGATCATTACTAGGAAAATTGGAAAGCTAATGACTGACTTGTTTCTGCCTATATGCAGTCTCTTTGTTTTATTAGCAATGGGCAAAGTTACTATTCTGTATTTAGTTGCATCCATACTACATATAATCAAATTATTAATTACTGCACTATAGCATGTAGAATATAATCACAAATCTTAAAAACTTTAAGGCCTAGTCAAAAGACTAATAATAAAAATGATTAATAAATAAGCAATGCAAGTATTATTTGCAGTTATTGAGAAAGTTCAAAGATTTACATGTGGTTATAAAAAATGAGAAAATTTCTTGAAGAAGATGACATTTGAACAGAACTTTAAGGGCTAATGGCATTTAACTGTTTGGGTTGGAGGTAGAGAAATGCAATACCACCAGGCAAGGTATCCTAGCTGCAAGGGGGCTACATGGTAGTTCAAAGATATTCACCTGTCAAATCGGATTGTCATAAACACTGTATAAATTGGGAACACACATTAAAGAGCATTTGTCAAAGGACCATGCCTCTAACTCCTTGTGTTCCTAGTATCTATTGCAATGAAGAAAATATGGTGAATGGTGAATGGCAATGATAGACAAAATTAAAATGTGCATTAAAGTTTTTTTTATATATGGACAAAATATTTTTATTTTATTTATTTTATTTTTTATGTGGTGTCGAGGGTCTAACCCAGTGCCTCGCATGTGTTAGTCAAGCGCTCTACCACTGAAACACACCTCCAGACTAAAATTGTTTTCTCTTTAAACTAGAATGGCAGTAACAGTATATACCAACATTTATTATTATTGAGGCATTCAGGCTAAGGCAGCTGTGTGACAAATTTGAAGTTCCAGGAAAGCAGGAATTGCATGTGGAATGAGTGGGAAATGTGTTTGGGGCCATCTAAGGGAAAGTTTGTAAGCTATCAAATTGCCTCTGTACTGCACACATCCTAAGTACAACAGGGAATCAGGACAGCTTATTGGCCATTACCTAGTTCTATTGTACAAATGAGTGGGCAGTATGGGGACAGCTCAGTGTGGTGCACCATGAGATCACAGTGGCAAGTGGCTCAGAAGGCTTAGGACACTGCCCTCATTTTTCTACTTGGTGTTCAACTAAAGGCCCATCATTGTAAACTGTAGAGGGAATTGGGAGACATGGAAAGATGGAATTCTCCATGGTGGGGAAGTACAACCCTTAGGGAGATGAGAACTGCCACAGAACAGAAGAGCGTTGGTTCTGTTATGCCTGATGAAGAAAAGGAAGCGGTGGTCAGCATTGAATGTTGGTGCACAAGATATACAGTCAAAGATTGTGTCAATATCTATAGCTGCTGCAGCCTCAGTGCCTTCTTCATTCACCACCACACTCTTGTGCAGAACTTTGGATAGACACAGTTCTGTCTCAGTTGACATTGCAGAGAAATCAGCCTGGCCCTGTTGGAAGGCATCAACCATTCCCAAATGCTGAAGCACAGACTCCATGTCATAATCCCCCTGCAGTTTAAATCTCAGAAGGAGAACTTCTAATTCAATATTCTGCAAAGAGGCTGCCATAGTCCAGGCAATGAATTTCTCAAAAGTAAGGTTATTTTCCACCTGAAAGACCAGAATCACAGGTTCATATTCAGACTATGGCATGTATCTATGGACACACAGACATTTCCTTGAACATTCCATGTTGGCTGCCCACACAGGATGGGTAGCTCCTTCAGCTGCCCAGAAGCTTGTGAGGGCTCTCACTTGTCAACCACCCCATGTGCTATTCCATATGTGATTTCCCTGCAGGAAGACTGTGGCTGCTTCTTCTTATCCATCCACCAGCAAACCATGTTTATTGTGAAAGTCATCTAGATAGGTCAATGGTGCTTTTCTAATTGTATTTATTGGTTTGAAGAAGGCTTTAAGTTTTAACACAATGAACCATTTCTGGCAAGCAAAAGAGACTGGGAAAAGGAAGATATCTCAGTGTGAGCCACTCCAGGAGGCCTAAGGTGGAATGAGGCACTGTTTGTGGAAACTCATCCTCACAGGTAGGGACCTGGAGAGAGGGAAAGCCCATGGGAGCTGCTCTGCTCACAGAGACCCTTTAGGTCATCACAGTGCACAGCCACCCTTGAGAGGACAGTTGACTCTCTTGCAATAAGGATCATACCACAAGGAAACAAGGAGGTCAGGAATGGGCCATTTGGGCTTTGAGTTGGAGATACTGTGAAACAAAAAGCATGAGGTATACCTGATTCTTCCCACCAAAATTCTGAATTCAAAGGTGTGCAGCACCTCCTGATTTACCACACTGAGGTCCATGTCCTCATCTGGAAGCAGGATGATCATGCTCATCATCTTGCCAGCATAGGGCAGCTCCACCACCTTTGTCTGGGCCTCAATGTTGTAGATGAAGTTAAAATTGGCTTCCGGCCACATCATGTGAACTGGCCTTTCCTCCTCCTGAGAAGAATAACAACAAGCACAGCATTTATAACAGTATGAAAAGCAGAAAGAAAACTCTCAACTCTGCTGTGTTCCAGCACTCTTAGAAATTAATAAATAGTTATCTGAAATATGCCTTATAAAGAGGGAGAGTTTAATACATACAAGCTTCTTTATTGTATTACATTGTATTTTAAGGGATTAGAGAATTTGGCAAATATTCTAATATCTGTTTTAATTAAAGTTATAACTCACAGTTGACTAGGGCCTTTGCTACTCATGTTTAATGATACAATGCAGTGAATGCTGAATCAATAATAAGTTATGATTAACAATAATTCAAATGTGAGATTTTTTAAAAAAAATATTTTTAGTTGTAGTTGGACACAATGTCTTCATTTTATTTATTTATTTATATGTAGTCCTGTAGATTGAACCTAGAGACTTGCACTACTAAGAGACCACTATACCATTGAGCCACACTGGTTTGATGTTTGAACCAGTCCCTAAATTCTGATTCAGGAAGTGTTTTTTTCACACTCCCTGTTTACACCCTGCCTTTTGTCTGACATATATATATATATATATATATATATATATATATATATATATATATATATATATATATACAGCTTAATTTGCTTTCTATGTAAGCAACTTGTGTCTATAGGAAGATATTTGTGACCAGAATAAGATTAAACCAATACATGTATGAGAGTTCATCAGAGGCACTTAGAGAGCTAATAGGATGTAAAACATAATAGACAGCAAGTATTATTTATTGCATCATTTTTTTCAATGAGTTTATAATTCATTAAAAGAGATAATAAGTTTGAAATTATTATTAAACACTTATAATTTTTGAAAGTCTTTCTCTACCTGGTTTACTTTGAAAGCCATTTCTTCTGTGCATTAGTTGTCAAATGGCTTGTCCCACATTCCTTGGAAGTAGATGGCAATTACAAGAATAAGCCTGACCTGCTCATCAATCAAGTTCACTGGTAGTTACTATGGAATTTTACCTTTCAAGACAATCACAAACTCTATCATTTGGTTCTTCTGAATCCATGGTGAATAATCATGACATGATGTCTTGGAGATCCAAACATTCTGTTTTCAAAATGTGCTGAGTTTGGATGATAGGTATAAAAGTCAAAAATCCCAGCTATGAGTGGTATTCATGATGACAGACACTGGAATATCCACCAAGTTGATTATGGTGAAAGACTTCAAATTCACCGGAGGAAATCAGGTTGGGACCAAGCTGAAACTTGACACCAGGTTAGGAAAAAAGACAAGCAGCCAAGGAGAGAGGGGCCCAGTAGAAGCTGACATTACCTGCTGTGGGTAAGAACAGTGTCAGGTCTAAGGCCCTGTTGTCAGGCCCAGTTCTAACATTGTACAGGTACCTGGCAACATTCCTGAGACAACAAGAATTGAATAGCTCCAGAACAGAGACATAGGAGGAGTTTCTGGAAACTACTTTATGATTGCACCCTCCTGGAACCTGGAAGCCCTGGAAGAGATAATGATTAGGGTAGGTGAATGTATGTCCTTCTTTCCCTGTATATCAAGTGATATGTTTCCAAGGAACTAAGAGTATCCCTGCCAATTAGCTGCCCCTTGAGGGCATAAAAATAAAAGGTTCCAAGAGGAAATACTGGAAGGAACTCTCTGTAGTTTTTTTACTATCTCATATGTTAGCAAAAATAAGTATGTTTGTGTTGGTGTGTAAATGCCTGGATAGTTCAAACATCAAACCATTATTGATCTTGAGGACCAAGGTTAGAACTTGTCAAACTCTAAAACAGAAATGAGTATGTTTTCACCTCACAAGCAGCATGTTTTCAATCTGTGGAATGGATCAGCCCTGAGAGAGGCTCTGTAGTTGACTAATCAAATCTAGGCTTCTCAAGTCTGTGATGGGCACTTAAGTGAGAGATAGGAAAGAAAAAGCAGGAGAAGTCATCTTAACATGTAAAAGTGGGAGAAATGAAGTACAAACTGACCCCAGGAAGAAGAGGGCCAAGGTCATGACTTGGGAAGATGTGGCCATTGATCTGTTCCCATAGATGAAAGTCACCTGCTGTGTGAACAATACAGGCCAGTGACATGTAAAGTATTACATGGGAAATCTGACCTATGAGTTTCTGTTGACACTTGCATTAGCCATTCAAGCCCTGGGAAAACAGACAGTATTAATTGTCTGGTTTTGAAAACCTGAGCATTGATCAGATCTTCTGTGAGCCACTAAGGTTCACAGGAACCAAGAGGCTCAGCCAGGCAACCTTGCTTTGTTGGTTCTGCAACACCAGTGACATTAGCAGTGAGGAGGAGAGGTAGAGGAGAGAAGCAAAGAGAACAGAGGTGGGGTGGGAGGAGAGTGAAATAACTTATTATTCTGACCTTTTGTTTCTTTAGAGACACAAGTATTTATATGCTCCCTGGACTTCTCTGTAGCTTCAGCAAAGGACAGCTGCTCCAGCTCCGAGTGGTAGAACTGAAGACAGGACTCCTTAAATGTCTTTGGAGAGAAATAATTCAGGTGGCCAGGTTGCTCAATAAAATGACAGTGAGCTTCAAAGCATTCTGAATGCTAGCTTTAGGCTTTTCTTAAAATTAAAAACATGATCAAATCTTAAGCTACTTGATGGTGAAACATTTTAGTTTGTAAGAGATATTTTTTGAGCCTTGGAAAACCGGAGATAATAAATGAAATTTGAGACATTGCCTAAATTGAAATAATATAAGTTATGATTGTAGAATTGGGGTCTTTACCAAAAATAGTTTACTGTGAGTTTCTCAAGTTCTCGAAAATATTGTTATTTTTTTTTTGCTTGATTTCTCAGTACTGAGGATTGAGCTCAGGGCCTTGAGTATGCTAGGCAAATACTGTACCACTGAGCAATGTCCCAAGGCAGTTTTCCATTTTGTTTTTGAGACAAGGGTGACACTAGGTTGCACAAGATGGCCTCTAACTCTCCATCCTCTTGCCACAGTTTCCCAAGTGTGTTATCCTGTCTGGTCTCTAGGGTCTCTCTTCTGGGTTGTATATTTCCAGGTATTTTAAATACCACTTTTTTTTGTTCTGTTGACTCAACTTACTGAGAGGAAATCATAGGTCTTCTCTACAAAGAGCCTGTTGGCTGTTGTAAGCAAATACTTTGACCCAGGGTTGTTCACTAGATTGAGAAGCATCTTGAAGCCCTTATGGATGTCTTCCTCTGTGTTTACAGACATTGCCTGTGAAGGAAAGCAAGATTCTCTCAACTAGGATCTTGGTCTCCAAAAGAATTTGTAAGCATTTTTTTCTTCTCAAATACTACTTAAATTTATTCTTTGAGAGGAAGTTGATTCTAATTCAGAAGTGTCACTGGTGGGATAGGTGGAGAGAGGGGCCAGGAGGGAGCCTGTTGAGTAAAAGATACAGGTTTTGTATCTGTACAGAGATTTTTGTATAGTTTAAAGGTGAGTGAGAGAAAAAAAATACAAGGGGAAAGAGAGATTCAGAAAAGGGACTATTCTTAAATCCTGCATCCCACACACACCATAAATTAGTCAGAAGTAGAGAATAACTTGCCTCTATTTATGTGAAAAAAGAAGCAGTTTAAAATACTAAAGTAACTTGCCTCTATTTATTTACAAAGAAGATGTGGTTCAAAAAACTAAAAGTCCAAGAAAAATATGGACAGGAATGCAATCATCATGATAATATTACAAGAAAATAAAAGTATAAAATGAGCAATAGGATTGATAAAAATAAATAAGTTCTTAAACCGTATCCTAGAGAGAGATATAATATATGTATATTATATGATATTTATATTTCAATAAAGGTCATATTACATCACAAGAAGAGTTTCATTGACTCTGAAATACACAAATGAAACAATTCATATTCAACGACGTTAGTGATGGAAATAAAAAATCAACAACATTATAAATAAAACCAACATGGAAATCAACCTACTAACTAATTATTAAAAACAATTTCTAAAGAAATAACTCTCTATGTAACAATCAAATAACTAACATATTGTCTATTTTTTTCTTTAGGTTTGCTCAGTACTAGCTTTTGAGATTGTATAAATAAGTGACAGAGCAGCAAAACTTTGGGATTGAATCTTAAATGATAGTACTAAAAAAAGCTATAGAACTAACTTTTCTAGAATTTGTAAAATGACTTCCATTTCCCAACATAATTAAATTCAAACAATGTATATTTTCTCTGTCTTCCAGTTGGTCAGCATACCTGCTTTCATGAGTAGATATTAGCCAGAAAATAACAAAAAAAAAGGCTTATCACCTTGTAAAGATGTACAACCAAATTATCAAACCTGTTGTATCAGCTGGACTGCTCTCTGCTGGATTATATAAGGCATTCAGCTAATAGGTCAATGTGACTTGGTCTGACAAGTTAATTCAACAGAAAAAAGTAAACATCTTATATCCCACACAAATTTTAGTTTCCTGAATAATTTACAACCAAAAGGAAAAACCTTTTAGTAAATTAATTTTTACCATTAAAGAAATTGGCAGAATGACAATTCTGTAAGTCACCAATTTGAATCATTTTGGAAATTGGTAATGGAGGTTTATGTAGTTTCATCTTTTCAACTTTGGAGGCAGATCTGGAACAACAGTAATAATAGGCAGAAGCAACAGGCATAATGTAACGGCAATCTTTTGGTAATATTTGTGTATTAAAATACTTATAATTTTGTTAGTCTATTCATTCCACAGACGTTTTCTTATGCATAAACATGAGTCACAGTGGACACATGCTGAGTAGCTCATATCTGTTAAGTCTCTTCTCACAATAAGCATTTGAAATTTTTAGAGACATTTCCTCTGTAGAAAACCATTTTGAGTAGCAAGTTGTTTTTCCTTTGTGGCTCATCCCCAGGCCTGAGATTTGCAGTACTGTAGGACCAGTTTACCATCACTGCCCAAACATCCCTCATCTGGGGGAGGAGCAAAGGACTGATTCCCATAAGTGAACAACTGTTCCAAAGCCACAAATTTAAGGAACTTCTTGATGAGTCAATGAGTCCTTGCATGGTTCAGGTTCTCTTTACAACCCACATTTTGTTTTCATTTTAGGGATGACCCATAGCCTTTAGTAAGATGTTCACTTTTATCTTCTTGTCACTGGAAGCCTCCTCTCCCTGAAAAGACTGCAGCAGAAGATGGGGGCTCTGGAGTGGCTGTATCTTGAGTAACATCCCTAAGTCCTTCATGCCAGCAGCAGCAGTTGAAGAGAGTTTTCACACCAATCTTGATGATTCTCAATAAGTTAAACAATAAAATGTTTCTTCTCTTTTAAAGAATGATTCTAAGTAAATATTTAATATTATATTTAAATATGTGACTTATAATTTAGAAAATAATATGAATGCTCTATTACCAACCCAAATAACTTCATCAAAAATAGTCAAACAGAATTAATTATTATAATTCCACAAATGAAATAATGATATAACTAAATTCCCAATGCACAATGTTAGAAAAGAGCAAGAAAAAATCCTAAGGAATTCAGGGAAAAATGCAAAATGCTCAATGAGTCCAAGAATTGATCCTTTCAAAGAAAGCACACATCTACCCAACATAGACAGACATCAGCAATTTTAAGACAAAATAAAAAAATACTTACAAGGAAAGTTATAAATGAAAAAGGGATTACACAGTAACCCATGCAAGCAACCCCCACAACATCTCACTGGAGGAAACTCCTCACCTCTCTCCTTCCCTTCACTCTATACCCCCTCCATTAAATGTTCCAGCCTCACCCCTCCTTCCTTGCACACCAGTCCCTCCTTCTCAATGACAGGCAGGCTTACCTGAGCCATCTGGACCTTGGTATTGCCCTTTTCCCTGAGGAGGACCATGGCCAGGGCAGAGGAGATGCTCAGAGGAGAAAAAAACACGTTTTGTGAAGGTCTGTCTTGAAACGGCATCTTCAAAACCTAGATGGCAAAGATGCTATTTGCTTTTGAAAGAGAATCTATGATGCAGGGTCTGGGGGCAAAGAAAACAGAGAAACATAATGAAATGGGGCTGAGGACACTGTGTGTGGTCTCTGCTTGGCTTTCCTTTTTCTTGTGAATTCAGAAAATTTCTGAGTACCAGCGAAAGCCATGGGAGTAGATTAGATATGTGAGGAAGGGCCTGCTGTCTGTAGAACATCAAACTATCTAGGAAAGGAAAAGCAGAAAAGCATGCAGAGAAGAACAGAAATTGACAGGTCAAAGAAAGAAGAATGGATGACTAGTCAAAGCAAGAGCAAGGAGGTGCTACTTGTAGACAAAGAAAGAGGAGTGTAAACACCATGGGGCAGCTCTATGCAGTGAGACCCTCTCTCACCAGCGGCTGGCCTTAGATCCTTGAAAACCTCTCTGACAACATCCCATTTCTCAGAGATCCCCAAAACCCATGTCCAAGCCTGCCTTCAGCCCCCTCCCAAATTATTCTACCCCACTTCACTTCTCCATCCACTGTAATCCTGTGCCTAGTACAGATCACATGTCTCCTCTGCAGAGCCTCTAATGTCCATGACCCTGAGATCCCGAGTACCATTCGTCCCTGCTCACTAAAATTTGTAAATCAAGTGGGCTGGGGAGTCTAAGAACATGGGCTTCCCCCATTAGGACCCCAGATGGATAGACACACAGAATACTGAAAGGGAAGATGGAAGTGCTATCTTGATACCTTAAGCTCTCCCTTAAATCTCTAGTGGCCCTTGGGATAAGCTCAAAAATGCCTTTTCTAAATGACTTCCCATCTGCCTAGCCCCATCCCCTGCTCCAGCCCCCCACCTCTCACAGCCTTCACCTCTACCTACTCTGACCCTGCGAATCACCTCTGAGCCTTGGTAAACAGTGATATCCAACTTAAAAGGCTTCCTACTCCATGCCTGTCACCAGGCTCCAATCACTCCCTCCTCCCTCCTAGGCTCAGCACCAGGAGACCTCTGATGTCCTAATCTAGATCTCTCTCCTCTCCGACCCTGACTCATCTCTCCTTATTATAATTCCTTGTCTCATCCATTGTTGGATACATGAGACTGGCTGCTCTCTGCTGGAAAGGTGCCTAGAATTCTGATTCTAAGCACCTGCAAGTATGCTCAGAAAACAGCAAGAGCTCCATCAATTAGGGGGAACTCTCAGATAAATAGAGGGTGCACTCGTTTTGAATTGGACACTGGAGATTTTAAAAGCACAGAGAAGAGGTAAGGCAGAAGTCATGCTGTGATCCCTGAGAAGAGAGGAGAGGTGAGAAAATAGGGCCAGTAGGTGGGAGTGGTGTTGGAGCATGAAAACCCACTAATGTTAGGGCCAGGAGCAGCCAGGTTCAGGAAACAGGTAAGCAGAGAAGCCAGAATGCTGTGCAGCACATTTGTCTTCTTAGAATCCTGCTAACCTTCTCTGTGACCATCCCCAAGCAAGGTCCAGCAGCACAACTGACCCCTATGATCTCCCAAGAAGCTGTTTCTCTAAATACAGAAATGACACTGCCTTTTGGGATTCTCTTTTCTCATCTCAGCCTTTGGCATCCCTTCTCCCAGTGGTGGCCTGAGGTTTCTTACACTTTCCTAACTTAGAACACTGTCACTTCAGCCCCTGCACACAGAAGTCCTCACCTCCCACCTCCCACACAGTCTCTCCCTCAGGTCTCAGTGTTGCTAGCCTGGTGCTGACTTCTGAATCACAGGACCAGGATCTACACCTGTGCCTCTCTCAGGTCCACTCTGGGGCCTCTGCACTCCCAGAAACCTTTATTAGGTCTGTTTAGCTGTCGGAATTTCTACCTTCCAATCAATGAGTCACTTCCCCAGGGAAGAAATTCAGTATGAACTGGGTCATGACAGGGGATAGGGTCTCCTCCCTGCCCAGGGATGGGTCACTAATCCTCCTGTTCTTGTTCCCCTAGCCTAGCCTCTGCAACCCACTGGCTTGCACTGGAACACCAAGGGAGACACTGGGGTGGAGTTGGGCACAGAATGTTTTCTAGAGGATTCTGAAAGTGAAAGTACTCTAAAACTGACAACCAAAGGCAGGCTGCAAAGTCCCCTGGGAAAAACACAACGAGGACTGGGTAAGGACACAAAACCTACAAATCTGGGCTTCCCTATTGACAGAAAGCAAAGACAGAATGACAGGCTCAGGTTTTAGGGGAGGAAAATCCTGTAGGAATGAGTCCCTTTCTCTAAAATGCTGTTGGTGGAAACGTAAATTAGCTCCATCACTATGGAAAATAGTAAGAAGTTTCCTCAGGAACTAAAGGTAGTGCTACCTAACACATGATCCAGTTATATCACTCTTCTTGTGTACACGTGAAGGAAACAAAGTCAGCATAGTACAGAAACAGCTGCATACCCATGTCTGTCCCTGCACAGTTCACAAGCCAAATTATGAAATCAGCCTAGGTGCTCATTAGGAGATAAATTGATCAAAATAAAAAATTTGGTAAGAATATATTTATAATAGAGTTTTATTTAGCCATAAAAAGGAAGGAAATGGGATTTGCAGGGAAATTGATGAAACATGAAAACTTCATGTTAAACAAAATAAATCTCAGGAAAACAAGTATCTCATGTTTTCTTTCATATGTGGAATCTAGGGAATAATACAAAGTGACATGAAAGTTGAAGATGGACTAATTGGGAAGGTAATGGAGGGAATTGTACAAAGGGGGGATAAGAGGGTTTTACCGGTAGGGTGGATTCAATTAGAGTACTTTATATGCATGCATGAAATTGCTACAATTACACAACTTTTTGTATAATTACTGTGCACTCATAATTATTTAAAAAAATTTTAAAAATGTTGTTTCCAGAAAACAGATGTGAGGAGAGGATCCAACATGGCAGCGGGTGCAGAGAGATTAATTCTCTGACCTCTTCAGCTGTGCAGGCAAAGGGAGTCTTAATCCGTCTGAATGCTGTTCTGGCTGATCGACTGCGTCTGGCAGACAAACAGCCTTGACTCAAAAACAACTCATCGGCTCCTCAGTGAAACTTTTGAGGTTAATACCAATCGAGCCTTCATAGGCAGTGGCCACAGGATTGAGACGGGGCTTGGGAGAGCCAGTCCGGACCCACCTGTTGCATGGGACACTGGTAAAGGGAGCGTACAGCTGCCATTCGCATGGGACATCACCATGGCAGAGAACTGCTGTCACTAGAATGCGGTGGAGGAGATAACTTCATTGAAACCAGCAGCTACAGGTGTGTAACCCCCTTGCCCTTCCTCTCCACACAGTGTGGAAACCTCAAGGGCCCCTCCCAGCTCTCCCGTGAGTGCCATAGTGAGACTGAGGGAGTCAGGAGCGGCATCAGAGCGTGGGACCCCTGGCTTCCGCTCCCACCAGTGCTGACAACTGAGGTCTCTTGCACCAGCTCCTGGGAGCGTGGCTACTAGAGGGCAGGCAAAATACGCTGACGGTTCTCAGTCCCACACTCCACAACCTTAGGATCTGGGGGAATGGCAAGCAGGGAGAGTGTGCCCAGCCATTCAAGAAAATAGGGCTCCCGGGACCAGCAGACCCTGCGAGTAGCCAGTATTGTGGTGAGCATCACCAGTGAGCGGGGCCTGGCTGGACGAAAAGTGGGGAAGTGACTAGACACAAGAAAAGGCCCTAGACACTCAGGATTGGAGAGCTGCCCATTGTGGAGGAGGAGCCACTTCACAGTGATTGGTTCCTGTGTATTGAGAGGAGAAGCTTGGCCTGGTGTGCACAGCGCCACCTACTGGAAGAGAAGTTAATCGAAATCTAAGACTGCATTTTAAAATTTTCTTTTTATATATTATTTTTAAATTTTTTAAAACTTATTTTTGTGTCTTTTCATTTCTTTTCAATTTCTTTATTCCTCCTTTCTTGAATTCTACCTGTTTACTCTTATTCTCTTAGGTGACTTCTTCCCTCCCCTTCTAATACGTTTCCTCCCAAGTATCACGAAGCTTTTTATGTGTAATTTACTAAATGTGTATAGGTAAATGTTCCGAGGCATTATATAGTGCGACCAATTCCATAGCTACCCCCAAATACTCCAGACCATTCTCCTGTTAATATCCCTTGTTAGTAGAGAGTAGAGCAATCTTCCAAGGTTGCCAAGATATACCGACCTCAATACCATCACATCACTCGACCTAAACATAAGTCCCAAGACCAAACTGGAGACCAGTATATGCTATCAGAATCTGTACATAGTTTAGGAAACGAACGAATCTGCATTAAAGTGCAATAAAATTCATCATCTCTAGTCATAGTCTCCCATCACAAAAGAGAGACTCTAGAGATACATAAAAACAAATAAATATATAGGAGTAAACAGTAACTCAGCAGTCAAACAGAACCAGAAGTAATATGAGCAGCATGAAAAAGCAAGGAAGAAAAGGAGTACAAACAATGCAGGACAGCCTAAATATACAGGAGGACCTAGAGGCATCTGAAAAATGATCAAATAAAGAAGTCAAGGAATACCTTATATAGAAGGAATGGAATCTTAAAGAGGATATGAGACAGCAAATTCAAACAATGAAAGAACACATTGAAAATGAATTACATGAACAGATAAAAGAAGCAAATAAGCAACTTTACCAGGAGATAGAGATTATTAAAAAATCAAACAATAATCCTACAAATGAAGGAAACTAAACCCAAGTAAAAACTCAAATGAGAGTATCACTAACA